GCTGGTACAGTTGGCCCCAAAGTGGTGTCACTGGCTAGCATTCCATTTGCGGGGGTTGGTGGTGCAGGAAATAATGCATTTGCTTCTATGCAATGTGTAGACTGAAATATGGGGTGAGCTCGTGAGTAATCCTTCCTTGTGCCATCCTTGTGTGTGAGTGCTTATGATGTCAGAGAACGCTCTGCTTCAAACAGCTTTTTCCTTTTTGTCAAATTGCTCCCAGCAAAGAACTGGAACTGATCTGCTGGCTGGGAAGGGCTTGTCTGCTTTTGGTAAGATTGGGGTGTTTACTCACAAGGAATCTGGTGATTAAAGGAATCTGGTGGATTCCTTAGTCTACCATCTGGATAGGTTCATGGTACCTCTAGTCATTTTCTGTTTAGATATTATAAATATTTGTATTTAAATCCCATAGATAATGATGCTGCCTCACACCAGCTTTTTCGCCTTGCTGGCCCTCTCCCCGTCTGTAAAATTCAAAGTCAAATCGGTTAGCCTGTAATGGCACAGGGTTGGTCCTAGTAGGCCTATCTCTTGCAGGGATGGGGGAGGAATTCAATCCACATTTACAGGCAAAGCTACTTAATCAACAATTTGTGAAGCAATGCACGAACTGAAACACAGCCATCCTTTGAATTTTGCACTTTTCTGAATTTTGTATTGCAATTTTCTAGTCAAGTAATATGTACAAAATGTACATAGTAATGTGTGCAAAAAAATCCCTATATTGGTGAAAGTAGCATACAAAAATGCACTGTATTTGGGGAAACTGCTTTGCAAAAAGATGTATATTAGGCAAAACCGCACATAAAAATGTGTGTATCAGGAAAAATTGCACTAAAACGCTGAAGAATTTTCATGAGTACTCTTTTTTAAAAAATCACAATCTGCTGTGAAAATGTGAAGAATTGGGTTTAAGGTTGGAAAAAAAGAAAAACTGAGGATCTTTGTATTGAGCTGAGTTGGGCGAAGGTGGGCGCTTGGTCCTTCCAGTTCTCTGGCTCTGGGTTTATAGGCACAAACTTCCTTCTAAGACGTTTGCTTTGGAATGACATCCTTCAACAAAGGGCTTTCCGGGAGCAATAGCTCCATATATCTGCACCCAGTACAAAGATGAAGCAACAATGTGTTGCTCTTCTCGTGTGAAGCAAAGTAAGAAAGCCAAGAGCTGAGCTCCTGTACTTTAGCATATTCGCCCAATTCATAGGAACATAGGAAGCTGACATATACCATCAAACTCATTCAGTATAGAATCATAGAACTGTAGAGCTGGAAGGTGCCCCAAAGGTCCTCTAGTCTAACCCCCTGCAATGCAGGAATCTCCACTAAAGCACCCATGACAGATGGCCGTCCAATATTTGCTTAGAAACCTCCAGTGAAGGAAAGTCTACCACTATCCGAGGGAGTCCACTGTCAAACAGCTCATATGGTCAGAAAGTTCTTCCTGATGTTTAGTCGGAATCTCCTTTCTTGCAACTTGAATCCACTGGTTTGGGTCCTACCCTCTAGAGCAGGAGAAAACAAGTTTGCTCCATCCTTTATGTGGCAGCCCTTTAATTGACAGGGACTGGCAGTGATTCTCCAGGGGTTTCAGGCAGGAGTTGGAGATTGATCCAAAGACCTTCTGCATGCAAGGCAGATACTCTTGTCCATGTGCTATGGTCCTTCCCCAGTTCCTTCTCCCAACTTCTCCAGCAGGAAGGAAAGAGAAAGGGGGATCATGCCTGGGGTAAATATATCCTGTGGTTTGTCAGTAATCCTGCATGAAATTCCCGTCTCTCCCTATCAGATGTGCACAGGGCAGGGACTTGTCTTTGCATCACCCACTTATGACCCTGCTCCAAAAGAATCATGCAGGAAGCTCCCAGTGGGACAAAAAGAAAACTCCATACAATTCCTCCAAAGAAGATGCAAACTCCCTGAGACAGAATATGGAAGGGCCAAATCCTACTTTGGTACAAGGGAACACTTTCCTTTTTACAGACAGGGATTCCTGGAGTTACTAATGTATTTTTTTCCCCTCCTCCACCTCCTAAAGAATTTTTTTTTCAGCTGCCGGAGAGGAGTGAGGGCAGATGTACTGTGAATTATTTTGGCTGGAAGGGGCAAGAATGTGTCAGCAGAAAACGGGCCTGTCAGCCAGAGAAAGTGAGCTGCAAATTGCCCATTTCTAAAAGGACGTGTTCATATGACACTCGGAGACTCACAAACCACCTGTTCAGCCATCAGTCACTGAGAGGGAAAATGAAGCTTTCCTATAAAGGAAGATTCTGACAGATCCAGAAAACTTTTTGAGATGTATGTCTAAACCTTAGCATACAAAAGGCAGACATAATGACTTAGCCAATAACCTCTTTGGTGAGGCAGATGAGGTGACTATAATATGCTCTTTACACAGATTTTTTTTATCTGGCTTCCTTTCCCCAAAATATGGGGGTGCCTGCATTTCATTTATATCAGGGTTCAGGTTCTAGGATTTGTCTGCAGCAGTAGTCCAGGAATATAAAAAGTGTCTCTGAGCATATGCAGAGCGCCTTTCACCGCACCAGTTGCATTCTGTCCCTGCATGCTTAGGATGAAATGACAATATTTTTAGGAAGGACTGGAACTCAGCACCTCTCTCTCTCTCTCTCTCTCTTTTTAAAGTGTCCTAATAAAAGCAGTGTAACCCAGTCCTCAGAGAGCCCCTGTAGTTGCAGAGGAAAAATGATAGGAATAAAGCAGAGAGAGAGAGAAAAAAACCCAAAAGAGGGATAGATTGTCAATGATCTCCTGGTTGTATATTTTGCAACAAGTGGGATTTTATCCTCTCTAAAGATCATCTTGTGTCTTAGCGAACAAGTGGTGCGACCCTTTGAAGCCTCAAAACTTGAGAGCGGATTAGTAGCAATGCACCATCCACCAGGATTGCCTTTCCCCTTTTCCACACAAGGTCAAATTAAGATTGGAAGAGACTCTGGCCCCCAAACTAGACTATATTAAGCCCTGCCAGAGCTTTATTTTCTTTTGGGGGAGGGCACATGCTTGTGGACTTGTGTGCAATAGTAATTTCTTGACAGGAAAATGGCAGAAGAGCCTCTGACAGTGTCGTGTTTTCCATGCAAGCCTCTCTCACCCGGGCACGGGAGCACACAGCCCAGCGCGCCTGATCAAATAGCTTGTTAATTTCATCATTTCAGACTTTTATGGTTTTTCCAGTTGGTGCTGCTTTTATAAACAAGCATTTCAGTGACCTTCCCCTCCGGACATCAGCGTTTTCAGCTCTGCAAGAATCTCAAGCTCTGAAAGTTTATAAATAAGCCTTCTATCAAGTTCCACAACAGGTGTGACCTCCCCCCATGTCCTAAAACTGAACAGTTTCAACAAGCAAATAAAGACAGCGCAGCCCTGGCCTTAAAGGGGACGCGTACCCAGGGAGATACACGCGGGGGCTCTCGTACTGCCAGCCCTGAACTTGGTGTCTTGGCAAAGGTGACCTCCTGCACAGCCGATTGCCCTGGATACTGTTGCCCGTGGCTGTGTTTTGAGCGGTGTTCCGCCAACACTTTGCATCTCAGTGTTCAGTCTTGAGAAAACATGTCTTCCTTTCTCAGTTTAAATGTCCCACTGACTTACACAGTGAGTTTCCGCAGAAGCTTACAAACTCAGGAAAAATACCCCACCCATTAAAAAAAGAAAAGACAGAAAGACAGAAAGACAGAAAGACAGAAAGAAAGAAAGAAAGAAAGAAAGAGAAATTCAAGCCAGAGTGGTACATGTCCTGGTTTTCTCCCGCTTGGACTACTGCAACACAGTCTACTTGGGGCTACCTTTGAAGGTGACTCAGAAACTACAACTAATCCAGAATACGGCAGCTAGATGGGTGACTGAAAGTGGCCACTGGGACAGTATAACACCAGTTCTGAAAGATACACATTGGCTCCCAGTAGATTTCCGAGCACAATTCAAAGTGTTGGTTCTGACCTTTAAAGTCCAGTATACCTGAAGGAGCATCACCACACCTGTCGTTCAGCCCAGTCACTGAGATCTACATCAGAGGACTTTCTGGTGGTTCCCTAACTGTGAGGTTACAGGGAACCAGGCAGAGGGCCTTCTCGATAGTGGCACCCTCCCTGTAGTGAATGCCCTCCCATCAGATGTCAAGAAGATAAAGAGCTACACAACTTTTAGAATACACCTGAAGGCAGCCTTTCATAGGGAAGTTTTTAATGTTTTATTACATTTTTGTATATGCTGGAAGCTACCCAGAGTGGCTGGGGCAACCCAGTCAGATGGGCAGGGTACTACTACTACTACTACTACTACTAATAATAATAATAATTGATAAGCCTAAAAGCAATAAGTACGTAATGGTAACATCAGAAAGTAGCTATCTATGGATCAAGGCTGTGTTGTCTTCTACACATGGCAAGCGCCAGAATAGTCAAGGCTTTTTTTAGCAACACTTCCTTCCCATCAGTTCTACAAATGACAATAGAGAAGCAAATAGACTAGTTGATATTTCTTGGGCTAACTTCTAGACATTTTTTTTTTTAAATTAAATTAAATTAAAATGGTATGCATTGGGGATGGGGCAGCTGCGGCCCTCCAGATGTTGTAGGACATCAACTCCCATCGTCACTGAACATTGGCAATGCTGGCCAGAGCTTGACGCAAGAAACGTAGGAAGCTGCCTCATACTGAGTCAGACCATTGGTTCATGAAGCTCAGGGGTGCCGTGTCCTGTTTCGCCATCTGAGGTGAGAGGGAAGGTGCTGCCCTGCCGCGTCACCACTGCACCACACCCCCACCCTCACCAGAAACTGCTGCTGTTGTTGGTGGTACCACTTCTCCAGGGCTTCCACCCCCGCATAGGTGACACCCTTTTGGCTCCCACCACTTGAGGCAGCTGCCTCAGCCTGCCTCATAGGTGGGCCAGCCCTGATCCAGCTCAGTGTTACCTAGGCTGACTGATATAAGCTCTCCAGAGTTTTGGACAGGGAATTTCTCCCAGCCGTTCCTGGAGATGCCAGGGATTTCACATGGGCCTTCTGCATGCTAGGCAGATGCTCTGCCACTGAGCTATGGCCTGTCCTGTAGTCCAACAACACATGGAAGGCAGTACAGGTTCCTCATTCTTAGTATTTGCCCACATTGATTCTTACATTTTCCTATGTGTTTTTGTGTGTGTGTTGTGCATGTTCCATGTGTGCAGTTTTGGGTCTTGTTTTCCCCAATATGAACCCTAGATTTCATACTAAACTGGAGCAAATCGATATTTTTCTGTTGCCTCAAAATTGGCTCTTTTGTTTCAGCAATATTTCAGGGTTGAGGTGAAATTCTTTGGGGGGGGGAGAATCAGAGCAGCCGCCATCTTATTTTTCCCAGAAAGCCCTGTAATGAGATGCTTTCTAAATTTTGAGAAATTCAAAATGCCTGCCTCCTTTGCCACTTGCTGCGGGCTGCCATTATTGTGGACAACAATTCGAATATCTACAGAGAAACACACACTTTTACAGAACAGGCAGATCATTCTTCCAGCAGCACATATCATTTGAGAGTTGCAAATACCCCCTCAAAGAAAATATAGTGATTGAGGCAAGTTTGTTAAAAATAAAAAGTCATGGTGTGTCATTCCATACAAACCTATTTTTAATCCTGTTCTAGTGGGGAAAACTTTTTAAATATATATATATAAGAATGTCTTGCAAACAAATAACAAAAAAACCCTCAAACCTGTTTGCTGGTTTATTCAAGAGGCACCGAAGGTGCCCCATTTCATTTTGGAGCAGAACCGGGGTGGAAGGCGGAGAGAGAATTTGAAATTAACACAGCAATCCTTCAGAAGTTAGCCTCATGGGTACAGTGGCATTTACTCCCAAGTAAATATGCTGAAGAATCAGTGGAATGATTGAAAGGTAGACTTTGGTCATCTTTCATAATATGGCACCCTGTGCAAGGCCAAAATTCAGCACCCCAAAATGCATTTTCTCAATTATGGATCTTCTCGATTTTGCACCCCGTCAGCTTGGTGCCATGTGAGGGGGAAGCACCTGCACTGCTCTAAATCCAGTGCTGAATAATTTGGAGGAACAAAGAGGGGTGGAGCAATTCACAAAACCATGGGTTATAGCCAACTCTACTCCTATTCAGTGTAAGTCCATTAAAATGAAAGGCATGGCAACTTGGGTTCATTAATTTCAATAGGTCTACTTTGAGTAAAACTCAATAGACTCCAGCTCCATTTCTTCTTGTATTACTGCTTCAGTTTCATGAATTACTGACTGAATGAATCTTTTCCACCAACCCTAGATTATCATCATCATATTTATTATGCATTGTTCACTAGCAGATCCAAGGCGGGTTGCGACAATTTAAAATTCAAAACTATAAGCAGTTGATCACCTTTGTGATTTCTACTGTACTTCCTAGTGCCAGTAGTTTATGTGCTCAGCTGTGGGCCATGATGGAAGGGACCACAGGTCAGTGCAGAGCATGAGCTTTGCTTGCAGAAAGTTCCAGGTCCAGTTCCTTTAACCTGTAGTTAAAGGTGCCCAGGTAGAAAAGTTGGGAATGACTCTTGCCCAGAACCCTGGAGAACCATTGTTTGCTACCCTTCCCAATCTCCATTTCGGCCTGCTGCAATAAGTCATTTAATCATGGCTTTTGATGATGTCCAAACTGGTAAACTATGGTTATAAAGTTTGGAAGAAGTCAGAATCTTAAACAGTGGTTTGAAGTTTGTTTAAGATGCTGGCCTGCTCTGAACTTGTGACACTGCTTACCACATGGGCAGTGGTCAGCAACTCCCAACAGAAATAGAGAGTAACTTCTGCTGCTTTCTTTCTGGGGAGAATAAGTGGTTAGATAGTGTAGCCTTTGCAATGACAGTGCCTTCCTTACTCTCATACTGAGCTCAAGGGAATTATAGGGTTTCCTCTACTTTTCATCTCAGGATCAGTAGCAAAACGAAACAACAACTGCAGGTTTGGTACAATATCCTGTTTTTGAGTACTTTGTTTTACACCTCTCTGTCTCCCTGGCGCAGTTTCACACGCGTTTTTAGCATTAGCTTTTATTTTCTGAACCTTGCATTTCTTCTTCTGTATGGTTTTTTAAAATTATTTGTTTACATTTCACACTGAGTTGATACTGCCTTGCGAGGAAGTGTTAGTGGTACGATGATCACCAAGTAAGCATGTCAATAGGTAACAAATAAAACCATGCAAAGGGATCTTTGCAAATGTCAACTGGGAGAGCACTAGCCCTTCTTGAAAATCGATCAACTCGATCGAATCCAAACAACAAAGGAGGGATAGAACCAATGACAGCAATGGAGTCAATAATCAGTACAGGAGGAGGAGTCAATATACACCAGTTGAGACTGGCGTGAGAGACACAATCACTGCAGACTGAAATGGTGGAAAGAAGGGAATGTCAATTCCTTGGTACTGAAACCACCCAAGGTGAGATGCACTTGATAGGATCAATGTAACCAGGAGAGTTGATACATCCAAAGATGATCCATGTTCTGTAAAGAACTGAACGGCCTATGGCCTCAAGCAGCCACAATGCAACCTGTAAGAATACAGTGATCAAAGGGTTAGGATCTGAAACGCCAATACCTAAAAAGCTATCACAAAATCAGTGCAACCCAATGCTACGTCAGAGGCAATATGCCTTGGAATACCAGCTTCTGGCAACTGCAGGTGGGGAAAGGAATGTTGCACTCCGGTCCTGCCCACAGGTTCCCTTTGGGTCACCTTGTTGGCCACTGTGAGATCAGGCTAATGGACTGGATGGGCCGTTGGTCTGATCCAGTAAGACTTTTCTTATGTTTTTACCTAGATAGGGCTCTTATTTACAGTTTTCCTGATCATTTTGATTCATAGATTTGGGGATGACTAGCTTATCTCAGGTTGTGAATAATTTTGATGCCCTCTGCTTGATTGTACATGGAAGAATCAGTACACCTTTCTCCTGTCATCAGTCAATTACTCTTAACCAGTATTGTATCACTTTTTGACCTAGAAAGGACCTTACAATGCTTAGCACATTTATCTCACATCTGCTCTGAACACTCATGCCCTGGTACCACAAATTTCATAGACAGAGGTGGATTTAGGGCAGCGCGACCAGTTCCCCCACACTGGGCACTGAGCCAAGGGGGACACTGCATGACAACACAAACATGAGGTTGTGAACTGAGCAGAATGGAAGGCAAGAGGCAGGGGGATGAATTTTGGCCTTGCACAGGGTGCTTCTGAAATTTGAAATACCAAAGTCCCCTCCTGTCACAGAATTCATAATCAGGCAGAAGAATTCTGTGAAACGCAAAAGCTTGAAGGCCATAGTGTAAACTTAAGCTGGCTGAGTATTTGTTGTCACTGTTACCACATAAAATGTCTCAAAAATGAATACATAATACATAACACAAAATTTAAAAGTCATCAGAAAATTAAAAAAATGTTATTGACTAAAAGTTCTCATCCTACAATAACATAAGAAAGACAAATCCTATCCCACTCTACTAAAAGATGAACATCCATAGCAGGTTACAGAGCTGGTATTATTAATATATTTCTTTGTGAATGCCTGCGTCTGCTTTCCAATCACCTGAGCTCTACTGAGATCCATATTTCCCTTTCTGAATGGTTTCTACCCTCAAAGGCACACAGAAAGACAGCTCAGGTGGGGTAGTATCACATTGCTAGCCTGAACCTCGAGTGAAGGATTCTGGGCCTGTGAGTGTAGAGAAATATCCTTAGAAAAAGATGCAAGCTGAGTGTTCCTGTTGATCTTAAACGGCAGTCCCATTTCTGACATGCTATGGAAAAGTTTTTGGTCCTAAGAACATCCTAAGTGCCCTTCTGAGAACAATAAGAGCAGCCATTTGGCTCATGGTAAGTCCTCGTCCCTCTTAATGTACTTGCTGCCTCCCTCCAGGGAAGCATCTAATGACTTCTCCAACACAGCAACTTGCAACGATGGATACATCATGCCAAAACCACCCAGAATCAGCTTTGCTTTGATGGGATTCATCATCCGTCAGGTTATTATGCCTTTGTTTTTGTTGTTGTTGATGATGATTTTTAGCAGTGCTTACAAGAAAACGTTTTAGTCTCGTTCCCCTACTTCTGGTGACTTGAGTTCAGAATTCCATTTCACTTGACACTGAGGGATGTGCAAAACCACGCTGGGGAAATGTCACAAATTGAACAAGCGTCTGAAGAAATTGGTATGATTTTGCACCTGATGAAAAACGAGGCCCATTTTTGAAGATAGCCTGGCAAGCACTAAGAACCTATGAAGAACTTGCTTGATCAGGCCAGTGGCCCATTTTTTCCTGCTTCCTGTTCTCACAGTGACCAACTAGATGCCTGTGGGAAACCAGCAAGTGACTCCTGAGCACATGAGTACAGAATGGGGATTTAATATGACCTTAACAGACTGGAGAACTGGGCCAAAATAACAAAATGAATTCAGTAAGATCAAATGTAAAGTTCTACATGTAGGCAGGAATAACCAGCTGCAGAAATGTGAGATAGGGGACACTAGGCTTGCCAGTAGTACATGTGAAAAGGATCTTGGGGTCTTAGTAGACCACAAGCTTAACATGAGTCAACAGTGTGATGCAAAAGCATCAAAAAGCTAATGCTGTTCCAGGCTGCATCAACAGATGTGTAGTGTCTTGATCAAGGGAAGTCATAGTACCACTCTATAATGCCTTGGTCAGACCATACCTGGAGTAATGTGTCGAGTTGTGGGCATCACAATTTAAGAAGGATATTGACAAGCTGGAGTAAGTGCAGAGGAGGGTGATCAATATGATAAAGGGTCTGGAAACCAAGCTTATGAGGAACAGTTGAAGGAACTGGGTATGTTTAGCCTGATAAAGACGAGGCTGAAAGGAGCCATGATAGTCATCTTCAAATATCTAAAGGGCTGTCACATGGTGGATGGAGCAAGCTTGTTTCTCCTGCACTAGAAGATAGGAGCCAAACCAATGGATTCAAGTTACAAGAGAGAAGATTCCAACTAAACATCAGGAAGAACTTTCTGACCATATGAGCTGTTTGGCAGCGGAACA